AAAAATCAGTAGAAATTATGAGAAGAAGGAGGCGAACCCATTACATCTTAACATAAATTGACTGAGGACAGAGGACAGCACTAGAATACATGTATAGAAACAATACACGGCGACAACATTTAAGAGATTTTCAATTTCATTTGATTATTATTTGTGTCCCAAAAAACAGTAAACGGCTGTACTTAATAGTGTCATTAGCGGATAGAGGATACTTCAGAGTGTAAGACCAATTTTGCAGACTATCCTAAGAGATCTTATATGATTTTAAGCTACTTTTTAAGTGCTTTTTCACGTTCTTTTGATTACAATAAATTTTCGCTTTCGCTCTTCCTTCTTCGTGTTCAGTTCACCAACTGCTCATTACAATTGACGGTATCGATTCACCGACTTTTCTTCGCAGGTCATTTCTTCGCACAATACCACAACGCGCGACACTCACGCACAAAGACGTTTTCCGGCAGAGAAAGTAATTTTGATCATCGTCTATATCAATCGTTTTTTTATTAACATCACAGGATGAAGAGAGTAATAAAGAAACCCATGAACTAAAAATTGTCATTTTTTAATTGATAATATAACTCCAGTCAAAATACCAATGATCGTGATGCAAAAATAAACACTAAGACAGGCGATAAGAGCCAGTTTCTGAAATTAAATAGAAGAATATGTTTTTGTTGTTTGGACTGTGGTAATAGAATCTGTGAACGTACTTTTTTTGGTGGTTGTGGTGTAGGTATGAAAATCGGGCTAATGTAGTTATTGATTGGTTGTAGCTGATGAAATTCTCCCAGTTTTCCGAAAGCTAATCGTCCTCCAACATGCACAGATCGATGTTTTGGGCTCTCACAGCGTCATCTATTGTAAAAGAACGTAAACATGGCCCGGAGCTCGCGGTTGCGTGAATTTTGCTTTCCCGGTAACCGGCTTTTGATGTAGATTAAAGGTTTCTGTTTTTATTGTATATTTCTCTGTGTTCACATATTAGTCCTGTTGTTACCAAAATCAAAATCAATCAATCTAGTAGTTATCATAGAATTCTTACGTCTAAATAATGTGTCGCTATGGAGTTGTACATGGTTTAAAAACCACGTACTGTTCAAAATAAGATGCCAACCAAGTTTACATGAGGTTCCATTAACAAATAATGAAGAAAATATAAAGTGAATCAAAAATTTAGTATTGAGTGAAAACATTTCAAAGAATTTATTCCGATAATTTTATAAAGCCTACAATTTAGTTATTTAATATGATGAAAATTTGGTTGACATGCCTTAGAACTTTGATTATTTACACACAAACAGAACTTTTTAAAACTTAGATGGCGAGTTCGAAGATTTTTTTTCATCTTAACCTCATTACACCTTCTTATAATGGGAAAGCTATGCGTTTTGGACATATTGTTTAATTTCTCACACTACTAATAATCGGTAGGAAGCATTTATAACAAAATTCATATCAGAATGATTGTTAAACGGTTATAATAATTAAAATGATTCTGAAACCAGAGCAGTGGAAAAAAAACAGAGTGAAGCAAACTATATTATTTCAATATGATACAGCTGTCAAGTCAAACCGACCCATGCTACTACATAGACCCCACCCTCATCCCTCACTTTCAGAAACATTTTATTCGAAGCATTTATGCTCCAAATCGGAGCTTAATTCCGAAGAATTAAAATTTGCATTGCTACGATCTTCGGAATACTAAAGCCGTCACTTTTTATCGCAATTTTTGAGATACTTTTCGTAAAACTTCGATATATAGAAAAAGGTGTTAGAGTCTAAAAATCACTTGTCTAATTTTCTTTGCTCTATTCAAGGGAAACTGTTTTGAAATATATTACATATGATCGCGTTTCTCTTAATTCACATGTCCGCACACAATATCTCTGCCGATTCCACGCGACAAAAGATCGTTGAATTCGTTTATGCTTAATTTTTGATCAGAGTTTTCATCAACATGCCAGATGTATTTTGTCAACGTATCTTTTGTCACTTGAGGATTAATGATGGGCAAGAACGCGGCTAACTCATCAATATCAATTTCACCCGAGTTGTCCGTGTCGAGTAGCTTAAATGCTTGGTTAATTTCGTCGTTCGAATATGATCCCATCATAAACGGTCTTAATACGTACAAAAAATCGTCGAACGATAGTGTTTTGTGAATTTTTTTCGCTAAATCCTCGTACTGTTGTCGTGTAATTGCGGCCTTTAATACACGTTTACGATCTTCTTGTTTGTCTTGGAAACCCTTTTGGACCGATTGTTGACGAGTTTCTTCGTACTCGTAAACAACCTCTTCTATTCGACCATTATTCTTGAAAATTTTCTCTTCGACACTATATGAAAGATCGCCTTTCTCAAACGAGGCACGACGATCGCTCGCGTCAGCCATTATTTCCAAGTCTGAAATAAGAGGACTTGTTTTATGAATATGTTAGTCAGCAAAATTTTCGGTGCTTACTGTCTTATAATGTGAAAAGGAACGAGTAAATGAACAAAAAATTTTAAGCAAAATAAAGTGAATGGCTTCTTAATATATTCACAATCGTGTTAGACAGAAAAAAGAAATTTACATATGACAACAGGTAAAAAAAACACACTCAAGGTCTCCAAGAAGTTGTGAAAGATAAAAAAATCCAACTCACTCTTAACTATTTATGAGTATCTGTGCCTGTTTTCTACGCGTCACTTCAAGGCTTTCTCTTTGCTTTCTTCCCTTTCTCGTGTTCTTCCTTTATTTAATTTCGACTAATGTGTCCTCAAGTTTTTTCATGACTCCATTTCTAATAAAAGAGAATTTTTAACATTGTCTGACAGTGCAAAATTTCCTCCTCATAATGAGATATCTCACATAATTTTCCGATTTAAGCATCGCCGCAAATGCTTTGAAAATATTGACCTGTGTCCTACCCTAATGCCCGAAACACTAGTGATTGCAATTGGAGTACATAAAGACCTAGAGATGGACGAATTTTCCAACTACGACTTGGAATTGAAAATAAAATTAAGTACAGTATCCCACTAACGGCAAAATGATTGCGAATCGATCTGCGCTCGATTGTCTTCTTGTGGTTGTTTGATGGTTGCATGATGATGATTAATGGAAAGAAGACCCCAAGGGGTCTTCTTTCCATTTGTTGATAATATACCAGAGATTAGCCTCACTTAATGGATACATCTTGCATTCAGTCTTCAAACCAAAAAAAATAGATGAAAATAACACAAAATAAATAAAAGTGAATGCATCAAGTGAAAACGTTACGCATCGGATTATCACACTATACTATCATGCAACCATCAAACAACCACAAGAAGACAATCGAGCGCAGATCGATTCGCAATCATTTTGCCGTTAGTGGGATACTGTACTTAATTTTATTTTCAATTCCAAGTCGTAATTGACATGCATATTTACATGTGCTAACTGGTTATGGTTGTCTCTATTGTGAGTATTTTTTTCGTAGAAGAAATAAAGTAAATAAAACACCGAAAGAAGACAACAGATGAATAGCAGTATGGCTA